CCCCCCCCACACAAAGTGCTTTACACCTCGGTTGCCTTTCAATGAGAGGCAGATGCATTGAAAATAGACCTAATCTTTCACAAACAGATACACTGCTCGAAGCTCTTGTAAAGTGGACCTCAGGGATTATCCGTTAGATGAACAGATCTGTCACCTATTTTTTGAGAGCTGTAAGTGCTAAATAATATCATCAATCAAAACTACGAAATGCATAATTGGAAAGAGTTTGTTGCACTTTTGATTAAAAGTTATCAATGTGTACCGTTACGTCTTTTGGCAATGAAAGGGTCACTGAGATCGTCGGGCCAGGAAACGTAGGTCGTAATAACAGTACTTTTTTATCATATTGTTTGTTTGTTTCGGATGGAGGGTAGAAAACCAGAGAATCCATAGAAAATACTGTAGGAGAAAAGAGGGGAACCATTAACAAACTGAACCAGGTCAGGTCGAGAAATCTCACCTGGGCCACAGCAGACGAAGGTGATGGCTGCCAGTTACGTAATCCTTGCAGCCTCCATGAATTACCGGACCGTATCAGAGGATCTGATTGCATTATGAGGTGAATTCGTTCCCAAAAATCATGGTGCGTGTATTTCTCGCACCAGTTGTTAAATGTTGAAATTGTGATGAAGACCCTCTATTTTAAAAACTACGGCATTTTGATTGCCTTCTAGTTTCATTCGAAAGCAAGGACTTGAATTTAACTTGGAAACAACAAATTGGAACTGATATTTACATTTACGACAAAGAAATGGCCCAGTTTGATATATTGTCAGCCAAACGACGTGGAAAACATCAAATCTACCATTCAGGTGAGTTTATAAAAAAGAAATAGGTTGCTTGCTCAAGCGACACCTCCAAAACACCAAAAAGCGATTAAATGTCCAGCTCATCTTTTTCGATTTCATAGTTCTCACCGTGAATGAGTCAACTGTGTAACCATTTAAAGGATATACCTTTGGATAATTTAGATTCTGACAAAAACGTTTCTTCTTTTTTGCATTCATCAGAGGGATTTTCAGGTCTCACGACAACAATAAAATTCAGGCGTCGAACGATGTATTATATATTCCAAATGTACATACCTTGTATCTGCGTTGTGATTTTATCATGGGTAAGCTTCTGGATTGACGAGACCGATGGTTCTGACCGCGTAGGACTGGGGATAGCTACGGTTCTAACCATTAGTTTCATGAGAGGCTCTATGAATGATAATGTACCACGTGTATCATATCTCAAGTCCGTGGATTATTTTTTGTTGGGTTCGTTCGTATTTGTCTTCATGACCCTGATCGAGTACGTGCTGGTTTTGAAACAGACAAGAAAGGAGAAGAAAAGGAAAAACGAGAAAAATAAAGAAACATTGGCACGTGACCGGAAGCGGGAGGCAGAGCTGCTGTTTTCAGATTCAGAGGATGAAAAGGTATTTTGTGTAATAGTAATAAAAAATACTAATTTGTAGAGAGGAGCAAAGTTAACTGATCATTTTATCTTTTAAGTTTAAAGAATAACACTTGTTTCCTTCTATAGGAGATCTTTTGAACCGACCTTTTTTAACAGAAAAAACATGACTTTTCTTCTCTTTATGCGGAATTAATTGATGTGAAATAAATTTAGCATGCTAACTCCTTTTGAATTAATATATTCAATGATAACATCAATTTTGTACCCTTGTGTCGTTGCAAGTTTTGATACCTTGGAAATGGACGTTGATGCACAATTTAGGTTTCCTGGGGTTACTGGAATGACAACATCCAGTATTACTGAAGAGGTTTAATAGCATGAGAAGGTGGAGCAGTCATGGCGAGGGGAAAAGGAATGGCTATCTGCCTTGACAATCACTACGTCATCTTAAAATGACGTGTATCTGAGAAGTTTCATTTTCTTTTAGGTTTCTGTGTCAGTATCCGTAGGCAGCAAAACATATGATTTTCAACATGGTAAACCAAGAACGGACGGCAGCCCTGTGAACTTTAACGTCAATAATCACAACAAGCCTGGGCGTACTGTGAGAATCGTAGAACCCACGCCTAATTTGACCAATAAACCTAAACGACAACCAAACCGGGATCAATTGAAAAAGCTTCATAGGCGACCCTCTATGATTCAAATGATTAGAAAGACAATCGAGGATGGTGAAGAAGAGATCTGCTATTTGGATAAGTATTCTAGGATAGTTTTTCCTCTTTCCTACACAATCTTTTTGGGGATTTACTTTGGCATTTACACAGTGCGATGGGAGAATATAGTTCCGTGATAAATTATAACAAAGTCACCTGAATGCGACATTGGCAGAACAGGTTAAATTATCTCGACTGTTAACGTGGAATTTCTAGAAATCGAGTTCTGAAGACTTAAATTCATGGCCAAAAAGAAGAACGGATGACAGCGTCGAGGCGCGCTTTCAGCCGAACTACATTGCCAAATTTCGTTGAGAAAAAAAAATATACTCGTAATTGATAATGGCGAGAGGTTAACAGCTTACGCGCAGAGTGTATTAGCTTTTTAAAAGTTTACCAAATCTACAATCTGGTTTTGTAAAGAGGACTTTACGCCAGAGGGGAGAACGGGGGGTTAACAATTTAGGAGTAAAGCAGGATATTTTGTTATTAACCGAAATCACTATCTCTTCTTACCAAAAATTTACCCTGGGAATCCCTTTAGCCACGCGCCCTTGAATCGCGTTTTTTGTGTGTCAAATGGGAGTTAAATTTGAGACCATCCAAATGATCTCGCTGAACGTTTTGTATCTCTTAACTTCGAATATGAACAATTATTTTATCGGTTAGAGGCGCTGGTCAAAATCCGCGCTTATTCTGGTTTTTTTTTCTCTATAACGCTGTTTGCGTCCTTGTATCGTTATTATTTGTGTTTTTATTTGTTTCGATATATGCTAGTTTAGAGATCTCGGTCAATTTTTTTTTACACAGTCAAACAACGTTTGCATACGTTAACATGACTGTTATCACCAATCAGTCCTCTGAGTGCAAAGAGCCGGAGTGTTATATTCTTTCTCGAATTATGAAGAGCTAACAGATAGGGAAATAAATTTGATATTTTAGAGCTACTTATATCCCCGAGTAAAAAATTAAGAGGTAAAGAAATAAATTTGAATTAAACCAGTACAAATAAACGCCTTCAGTGACTCTGAAGCCCCAATGCTTGACGATTAGGGAGCAATCCGTCGGAGATGCGCGTCTCGATGTTTAAAGAAACTTTTACAGAATTTGAGTTGGCTATCGTTCTAATGTGGCCAGCTTATACAGATATTTTGATTCCATGTCAGCGAACAGATTTGTAAGCAGTTCATCCAGGATTTTTGGTTGTGAATTCAGTGGATTTCAAACAACCTTTCCCTGGTAAAGAAACGCGTGTCTATAACAATTAAAGCCAGCTTCACAACACTCCTGCCCACAACTCTTAATGAAATAACTTAAACTCAAATTTAGGGAAGACTGAGAAAGTTGGTAT